TATTCTCTTATTCCTTTCCTTCAGTCCCATGTTCCACTGACAATCTGTCTTCATACGGCACGCAATAGAGAATTTCTATACAACTGCAAGCAGATGGGCCATTTTAGCCCAACGAGGGGTTCCATGAATGTGAAGAGTTCAAATGTGAGGTTTAATGAGTACACTAATGGTCAACGATATCAGTCTATCTGGAGCAATGTTTCTAATGTAGGTTTCTATCCGAAGATAGGCAGCTGAGAATATTCTTCCGAAAACGTCACTCCGACAGTGAAATAGTATGAAAATTTCGATGATCCAGACATTTTTTTTACTGAGCACCTTTTAATTTAAACTCTTAGGAATACAAATTCATTGCAGTCATGCGTTCTCAATCGCATCTTCTGCAGGATGTAATTCAACCATTTATCGTCGATCAGTGATATTTTTGTTCTAAATCTAAATTGAAAACAGAGTTAGAGTCCAAACTTCTGCTCCAGTTGTTGACATCCAAGACGATATTGGTCTTAGTAAGTAATTTCTAGAGCTAAATACTCGATAACTGGCAATGATTTCTTCTTTCGATAACTAGTGGTAATTCAGCGATTACTAGTGTTTAAGTGATCAGGCAATACATAGATTCATAGAAAATACATTGCGTTAGAATTAGGCCCTTCAAAAAAAAGTAGGAAGGAAAATTTGATTTTTTAAATATTCACGTTATGCATTAACTTTTTCGTCGTGCTATAATAGCACAGAAATCGCTTTCTGAACTACTCCACTTTCAACTTTTTTTTACTTTTCCGTCTTCCGTTTCTTAACCGATGAGACTTAAGGACGGTATGAATAGTATATTCCATTCCCAGTTTAATGCGTGCTAGAAATTTTCACTGTATTATGCCTATTAATCAAATAGCTGATCTTAAAAAGATGAAAATACGAGCTGTGAGGCTAGAAAAGCGGTTTTTCACACTTTTTCAACCTCTTTCCGAAAAAGCTTATTGATCGGTAATTTGACCAACTAAAAGCTCATTGATAGGTAATTTGGCTAACCAACAATTCAATTAACCGTTATTTAAATTCAATCACTATGGATACTGTACGAAATATGACGGTATGAAAAAGCACAAAAATAACCTCAACAGAGGATGCGAAGGACTTCCGAGCGCTGACAACAGTACATTGGCAAAATAGACGATAGTAACGCCTAGTAAATAACAGCACAGATTTTATACAAACTTACAAAACGACTGAGAAAATTCTCTTCCTCATGCCTGTCTTGTCCACAACCACTACAGGGCCCTACTTGTCAAAAATTACTTCCTACTGTAAAAAAGCAGAAAATCGGCAGCTGACGAAAAATGGCTCGTATCCTATTCAGAGAGCCACCATAAGCGGTGCGCCTCCGCTGTGGGCTAACAATATGAAAGAAATTAACTGGACGGTAATAGAGGTAAGGACCGCATGTGTGTGAAGATGAAAACCCAATTTTAAACTGCGTACGTAGAAAAAGACGAAAAACTCTTCGGTAATTACATGATCAACAACTTCCTGATTATAGTCGCATGTGGTTGACGATTGCACCATTCCACATCAAAAATCGATGCGAACATACGGGATCAGGTCGTGTATGACCTCCGGGCGTTCATCCCTGCTATTCATTGTAGGGTTTTTGGCATTTATCCAAAAGCCTCAATAGTTTTCGAGCTGGTGTTTTGGACTCCTGTGCAAGGATATCGACTTTTACTTCAAAATCGTCTCCGCTATGCTTTTGTATCCTATGCGTGCCTAGTGGGGTGCTTCGTCTTAGTTTTCGTTTGCCACCTAGATGTTCTTTTATACGGATACACAAAGGTCTGCCTGTTTCACCAATATATTCATCTCTGCAATTGTTACAAGAGATCAGGTATACCGTACCTGAACTCATGCAATCACCGTCCCTGTCGTAATGGCAAATTACGCAACTTGTTGTTTCACACAGACGGTCATACAGGCGGTTGCGAACTAATTGGCGACGTAGAGTAGTCGGTGGTATTTCAACTATCGCTACCGATTCCTCTAGACTTGCCCTTCTTAAGCATCGTTTTATAGCTGCGCTTACTTCATCGCTTATAAAAGGCAACATAAACGGGATTTTGTTTTGGCCAAGTGTTTCTCATGGGCGCGTCGTTCTCCTTGTAAACTTATCTCGTGGGGTTACTATTTCGTAGCCATTGGAGATGGCTATTTGCCGAGCCAAGTCGCGCGATTCTTCCTTTACTTCCCTGGTAGTGCACACAGAGGTGGCTGTTCGAAACATGTTTCTCACAATCGCCCTCTTTGTGTGTGAAGGGTGGGAAGAAAGGAAATGAACAAGGATGTTCTTGTTACTTGGCTTTCGATACCACTTTGTTAGGTAACCGCTACTTGATAGGTTTATTTGAACGTACAAAAACGGAAGCCAGTTTTCTCTCGGTTTCTCCCGGGTGAACTTTATGTACTTGGACTGCTCGTTCAATAATTCAAAGCATTTGTCCATCTCCTCCTGCGTAGAGAAGACGACAAAACAATCATCTACATATCTGCAGTAGAGTAGTGGCCGGAGATCGAGAACAGGGGCTTCTATCTTAGACACAAACACAATGGCAAAGCTTGGTGCCAATCNCAAAAACGGAAGCCAGTTTTCTCTCGGTTTCTCCCGGGTGAACTTTATGTACTTGGACTGCTCGTTCAATAATTCAAAGCATTTGTCCATCTCCTCCTGCGTAGAGAAGACGACAAAACAATCATCTACATATCTGTAGTAGAGTAGTGGCCGGAGATCGAGAACAGGGGCTTCTATCTTAGACACAAACACAATGGCAAAGCTTGGTGCCAATCTCTGTCCCATTGCCAGCCCCCTTGTGCGAAATATTTCCCAGTCCATCTGAAAATCGAGCAGTTTAGGCACTCCTTTAAGAGAGCCATTGTTACAAGAGACTGCTGGATGGACAAGCCATGCATATTTATTCTTCCTTCATGTTCAACAAGAAGTTCGAAGATGGCCTCCATTGCGGAGTCATTCGACACGTTGGTGTACAGTGCGGTAACGTCGAAAGACTCCATCACGTACGCGTTATTAGGAGACGCGTTACATAGACATTCTAGGAACATTTGGGTGTTTGTGAGGTGAGCTGGAATGTGGTTAAGCAACTGGGTAAGTATCAGGCTTAAAAACCAGGTTATTCTATCCGTTGGCCCGTCTACACAGCTGATGATCGGTCTAACCTTAAATGATGACGGAATGGTTGACGCATGATCATCAGGTGGTACCAACTTATGTGTTTTAATAAGTAGGTATAGGACGGGACATGTTGGTCTATCGATTTTAAAGTGCGAAATAACCGATGATTTTAAACCCGCAGCCTTTGCCACGCTGACCCATTGATTGTTTAGTTTTCGGTATTGAATTTTATATTCCTTTTCAGAGGATGGGCGATAGAGAGTAGCATCACTAAGATGATCCTCTGTTATCTCAACATCCAGCTGGCGAGGGATAACTACGAACTCTCCTTCCTTATCATTAACAGACAATCTTATTGTTTTCGAGTTTACTAATTCTCTAATTTCCCGCATGCCACATTTTTGTGCGGCTGTAAGGTTAGAGATAAACTTTCTATCGCGGTAGTGAACAAGGGTCTTGAGAACGCCGTCCGAAAACGCGCGGAATTTTATGTCAACTCCATCGTTAGGGTCCTGCTGTCTAAAGAACGTTTTTGGGAAAGGAGATGGTGGTAATGTCGCCGCCTCTTGATTTTTATCTCTATTTGATGCTTCTTGCTTGGCCTGATAGCGGAGTCGATCTTGAAGCTCATAAAGGTTGCATGCTATCCTACGCAAGGTCGCTTTAGAAATGGGCTGTGATGGTGCAAAACTTGGGCCCAATTCTAATAACGAGCGCGCACTCTCAGGTATTCTTATGCCCCCAATCACGATGACCCTAGATTTTCTTGGTGCATTATCAACCCCATTTTGACTATTATCCGATGCGTAAGGAATTCGTTTGCGGTTGTTTCTTGAAGCTGAGGCATGTGAATTACCCAAAAGATTTTCGAATTTCCGTTGTAAGGTTATTTTGGCATCAAATCTAATAAAATCGCATATCAATATTGACCCACCAACTATCCTCCTCCAAAGGCGATCCTCCAAATACAAAGCACAAAAATGTTCCTTCGTTGCACACTTCTTCATTCTGGCAAACATCTCGTTCTGCTTGCTTCGTAGTGCAGCTCGAAGTAGTTCCATTTCGATGCCTCGTACTTGTTGGCTGCCCTCGGATTGACCGCATATCTCGTGAAGTCGCTTTCGTTTGGCCTAGTAGATTGTATATCAGCATACCCTTTCTACAATGAATAGCATGGACGAATGCCCGGAGGTCATACGCGACCTGATCCCGTATGTTCGCATCGATTTTTGATGTGGGATGGTGCAGTCGTCAACCACATGCGACTATAATCAGCTGTTCTAAACTTCCTCATTGGAAGTCACGAAAAAAGCAGTGGGTTTTTTCGAGAAGTTGTTGATCATGTAATTAACAAAGAGTTTTTCGTCTTTTTATAAGTGTTATTAAGCGTTTGGCCTAGTAGATTGTATATCAGTATACCCTTCCAGGCTCTGAAGAAGGCGATACTGCCGAAACGTCAGCTAGCGTTGTATTGTATTGCGTTTTTATGGAAGTAAATGTATGCTGTTTAAAAACCTCGCGATTGCTGAACAAGAAACGGCACATTCATATTCCAATGCCGAGGTTAAGAGAAAGTCGATCCTGGGAACTAGTTTCTACTCAGTCCATAAAGTTTCTTCGTGAGCTGTACAAAAACTTCACAGCCAAGATATCACCATTCTACAATGATATTAACATCGACGTCAAAAGAGGGGTTAGGCAAGACGTTGCCATCTCGTCAAAATTATTTACTCCCACCCTCTAGAACCTCATATGAACACTAGAATGGGACAACCAAGGGAGTGAAAATCGATGGTCGGTGAACATTAGCCAAGAGGAACAGATGCTTGCCGACTTTGATAAGGCCAGTGGAAAGATTGGTCTTCGACTAAATCTCACAAAAGCGATGTTCATGAGGAACGGATTGATTTCATATACTCCATTCATGCTCAACGGAACGAGTATCTCCGAATACTCCAGTTATATCTATCTAGGTCGGGAAATCAATATGATGAACGACCTAGTACCGGAGCTGAGAAGAGAAAAGCGAACGGCTTGGGAAGCTTTCAGGAGCAACGAGGATGTAGTGAAGAGAACAATGAACACCCGATTCCGTGCCCACCTTTTCGACTCTATGATACTTCCTGTTGTAACGTATGCGTCAGAAACGTGGCCGGTGCGTAAGCAGGGTGAAGAATCTCTTAGCGTTATCGAACGTGCAGTCGAAAGGAAGATGCTAATTGCATCCCGTTTCACACAAGTAAGGGATGGGATCCGAAGCTCCGGGCTGCGTCAACGATCAAAAACCAAAAATACCGTTCTGTATGCCAAACAGTCGAAGATAAGGTGTGCGCGCGACACATAATGCGTATGAATGGCAACAGATGGACAAGAGCCGTGAGTGACTAGGTTCCTCGGTATGTTAAACGTACTGCTGAAAGACCACCGGCCCAATGGTCAGAGTTCTTCACGAAGAGCCTAGAAGAATGATATTATGCTCGACGAGTCCTTAGAGCGAGCAGAACCCACTGGTTTATTCTTGCACGCGACAGGGATAAATGGTAGATTTACTGGCGCCCGCTCGAGTCACTCGACGACCAACAGGACTACAAATGATACTGTCGAAGCCAAGTGCGGGAGGGTGTTATTGTAAATGAGGCAAACTTAAGCATGTCATGACCACTTCAATATCACAACAGCAACCATCCGGCAGGGCCTATTTGCGTTGATGTTTCTGTGTACCCAACTGTCACCGGACAACAGGTTGTAGCTGCATGTTGCCACAGCATTCGCACTGTCAGTTTAGGAAAAATTTGTGCACATGAATCGTTTTCGGATCGGTAACAATAGATTCCAAAGAAGGCGACTATCTTACCAACAGGAGTAGGTACTCAGTACAGCACTTAGTTTTTGTCCTCGATTATAAGTTATTCAAAAACTCTTTCGCTCTCTTGTATGTTTTCTCGCTTTTCTCTACACCTTTGTTACTTCTTCAAACATTATAAGAGTGAGTTTTGTTCCTTTATACGCAGGTACAAACTACAATGCTGTTTTTCTATAATCACAGATATTACAGTATTTTTACATAAAACAATGCTTTTATTTGTAGCATTTTAAGCGAGAAACACTCAACACTGGAACGTGAGGACGAAGAAAACCTGACGGAGACTTCGTTCCTGCACTGGGTGGAATCACGGAATGTGCTTGTTTCTTGTCGCACCATGACAAGTTGAAGAGTCCTGAAATTTACGTCCACAATGACTTTTTCATATACAGGAAAATATTCCACCAAAATATTCCCGGCGAAAGCGTTTTAGGGATAAACAGAAGACTAAAGCAGTTGCCAATGGGAAATAGGTCTTCGAGTCAGTTAACTGCACCGAATTATTACTAGCTCAAAATGCTCGACTTCGTAGAAATCGTCAATTGGGAATTTTTCGACGTCGTCACAGAGCTATATATCAAACTTAAGTAGCTAAACCGTTTGTGATATTTATAATACAAGAAATAACGAAATGCTAACGCCGAACAATACAAGGGGTGATGAGGTAATGGAGCCAGTGAGAGCAAGTTGGTGATTGAGAGATGACCTATAGGATAAGAGAGCAGCTCTGCCACAAGCTGGTGGCGCAATGTGATGCTCGAATGCGTTATAGAATACAGCAACAGTGGTACAAGAGGTCAGCGTATGTGACGATGTAATAACCCTCAGCTGTAATGAGTACACACTAGAGTAACCACTACGTGTAAGCTTGTGATAACGTTGCGATAAGGTTACCGTATTAATGCCTGCATGTAAGTTTTGAGAATGAATAGAATGAGGTTTATATATTAAAATAGTGACCACATGCAGCAAGAGTTTACATTTTCGACCATCTACATGGAGTAAAGCATAAGATGAACGAGAGGACCATAGGCGTGTCGATCAGGCGATGGGATACTAACTCACAGAGTCGTTTAAATGTTTTCTAGAGAAGGCGATGTTTTGGTGAAGGTTTTGAATTTCCGAGAAAACGTTCTTCAACTATCGCTTCTTCATCGTTCGTGAACGCATTATATAAAGAAAGGCGGCTTTTCTAGACTACTTTTTACCATTCGTGTTACGGTATGTGTGGAGGCTTTGAACAAGACAACACAGAAAAACTCCGTTCACACAAAGATGTTAGCAAGACAAAACCTGTTTATTGGAGAAAAAGTTCCTCTGAATGAGGTGGAAACATTTACATGCAGCAAGTTTGCTATGTGGTATGAAGAAAGAAAGTCGTTATTAGTTCGCATAATTATTAGAAGAGTGTACGATAATATGAAAGAACAGAAACTATTCCGGGAATATTTTCATTAAAGGGTCCAAAAATCACAATAACCACAAAAATAACCGAGATTTTTTCAACACAAAAGCAAGCAAATTTCTAATGCTTCCTATGCTTAATCGGTTATAGGAAGCATCGACATAATATTATCGATTTTCTATGTATACATAAATACTTCCTGTAGTGTAATAAGTTGAATCCTTTACCTGTCGCTACAGTAGAGAGGCGATTTCCGTATAATTTCACTCCTGTGGACAATTTACAATTGTCTACCTTCACGTCTTGTCTCCGTAATTCACTTCCACTAATTCTCTGTTGAAATGTGAACGTAAATGTAATCAACTTCTCCATAGATCTCCGTGAACATCCCGGAGAAGGTATTTATGGTGACAGCGCTGGACAGACACTCCTAAGGTTTTGAGTTGTCACTTATTGTGAAGGACTTTTCAAATCAGTATTACAACATTTTCTAAGCATTTCATACCAAGCAAACTAGAGGCAGCGCACTGCAAAAGGCAAATATTCAACTTCTGGATGTTAAGCTGTTATGGTCTATCCTCGGCAGAAAGATTAATCGAAGTTAAGGAGGTGCCCTGCACTTTTCTTTGCATGCCAACCTAAGAGTAAATCTATGCTAAAACATAGAACGTTCATAAATGTTAAGTGGTGACGGCTAGAATCGAAGGTGCCATAAAGTGTTATTTTTCGAAAATAGAATTTTTCCAGTTAGGAAAACCATTTACAGGTATTTCTTGGCTCCCTCATTCACGATGGCTTGAAATGATGACGTCTAAAGCACGCACTACTGTTGGTTTGATCCCACACAGGCTCAAACAAGCTTCCATGTGTTGAGAGTTAGTGAATTTGCACCTGACTTGTATGGTGAAAGCTCTCTCTAAACCAGAACGACAGGCTACTGTTTTTCTGGTTTACCACCTGAGAACGTTAGCAGAATTGTTCGAGGATTCCAACGAGAAGCGATTCGATCACTGTTGATCGACGTTCGCGAAAAAGATAAATTTCTTGTGTAGCAGTTGGATCCAACAGAAGAGATAGTTCTCGTTGTGTATTACAAATTCAGCACAACAAAACGAATGAAGAAGGTGCCGCGGATCGCACAGTGTACATGACGATTCAAGTAAGAAAGAAATAAAGAAATAAACAATAAGAATCCGACATAAGTGTGGTCAATCGAGGCTGCTGTATGGACTTCTATGACATACTTGATAGTGTGATTAATAAAAAATTGGAAAATCTTATAGAATTTATAGAATAAAGATTAACATGAGAGAGTTCATGCCGTTGATCTGAAAGAGATGATTTGTCAGTAAAAAAAGGATAAAGCTCTCGGTTTTGATCAATCCCCGAGGGATGTGCCATAAATTCGACATCATTAAGCATCGTACGGAAGTGATTGAATGTATCTGGCCTATACAATGACTCGCGGTGGCCTACCGATGTATGGAGCCAGTGCTGCTATCCTACCAGACAAGTCTGGTACCAATTTGCTGGCGCTAAAGGGCTGGAGGGCTTCGTGTGCCATGGGCACGAGAATCGATTCCACGTGTGTGTCGCGGTGGCGCCTCCAACCAGTGGGCCGCACGCGCCCCTTTTTCATTGGTACAGCTGTTATTCACTGAGATTGTGAGATAGTGTACGTGAATTTTTGTCGAGCTCTGATTTTTTAAAGAAACTGGAGGCTATGAGGGTGGTTTTATATTCTGTAGATGTGACTGCAAATAACTCAGTTCCACAGGAGAGAAACATTTCATCAAATGGAAAAAGTGGGCAAGAAATCATCGACGTTTTAAACGAAAGCTATGCCGCTTTAAGAAAAATGTTTAGGCATTTGCAATACGATATAGTTATTACTACAATGATGTTGAGACTTTTGCAAAACTCTGGACCGCAGGTGCATGCAGTGGGGAACGAACGCTCTGTCATCCTTTCCGGGGAGTAACGCGTTCACCACCACACCATGCGAGTACTTCGTTTCGCCTTTCTCTCAGCTAGTTCTAGTATATAATAATTATAATATAGATATTATTATTAGTCAATACTCCGGTACATAATTTGTAGAAAAAATTCAAAATAAACAACGAAACCAAAAGCGGATTCAAATGAAGTAAAATTCTATGAAATACGTAGAATACCTGATTGTTCAGCACGTATTCCTTGCCATTCAATGGAATTTGACCACGATTTTGGGCATACAGTGCCTTTTGGTCTAAAATTGCTCAAAACTATTATCTCTAGCTTCAGCTGACGAATTCTATTCATACTACAATATAAAAACCATGAAGCAAAGAATGCACGATGCTGCCGAAAAACATATTAATTCAACCGCAATGATGCTGAGATATTTGCAAAACTCCGGACCTCAGGTGTCTACTAGCTAGCTAGCTGAGAGACAGGCGAAACGAAGGACCCCCATGGTGTGATGGTGAACACGTTATTCCCCTGAAAGAGCAATAGTGCATTCGTTCTCCACCGCAAACACCTGCGGTCCGGAGTTTTGCAAATATCTCAGCATCATTGAAGTTATGTTTCGCAAAAAGAAAATACCCAAAAAAATCGTGTACGGTAAGTAGATAGATAGCACAACAACACCCAAAATATCGAGGCATTTTTCATTCACATAAGGTACTTTTGCTCGTCGTTCTAGGTATCCTAAGTGATGGTTCACACAGACGAAAAGAAAACAGAGGAGGTCGAACAAATGGATTTATGCGAACCATTTAATCTTTGTGAAGGAGGAGCTCCAGGAAACACAAGGAGATGTGCACAAGGCTTCCCATTTTTCATTCTAGTTACGATTTTTTGCCTTGATGTAAAAGAATAAATTGTAGGAGCCGATCAACCCCTAAGAAAGCTACTATGCATTCGACTTCATTGGCATCGTCAGAGGTCAAGAAATGCATCTCTGGCCTATACAATGACTCGCGGTGATCCATCGATGTATCAAGTCGGTGCTGCTATCTTCCCAGACAAGTCTGGTATCAATTTGCTGCCACCGGAGGTATGGAAGTGTTAGTGAAGCTGAGAGCCCTATCGA